TCTATCTATCTATCTATCTATCTATCTATCTACAGTATATCTATCTATATCTATCTATCTATCTATCTATCTATCTACAGTATCTATCTATATCTATCTATCTATCTATCTATCTATCTATCTATCTATCTATCTATCTATCCACATTGACAATGCTGTCCAAAGGTGACTGTGTTGCCCCTCCATCCAAAGTGGAGCCTTTATTAGACAAGAAGTGTGTTACTGGCAATAAAGTACAAAAAAGCCTAATAAGAGAAAAACATGTAAGGATTGGTAACCACCAAAATATATTACTTTTTTTTATTGATTAAACTCATGTTCAGGATACAGACCTAAAAAAAAAAAACCACTTACTAACCCATTTTCCAAAACAAAATGAGGCAAGTGCCCTGGCCCAAGAGGGCTCACAGCAGGGCACTAGAAGACCTTTGCAAAATATTTTCACTTTTTCTCAGCATTCAATGCCTTAAACCTAAAGTACCCTCAATCTTATCCACCTTGAGACCAAGCCTTTTCTGGCACTTTTTGTTCACATGTAAAAATCAGAATTTTTTGCTCGAAAATGTCTTAGACCCCCAAACATTATATCTTTTTTTAAAGCAGGGGTCCTACAGAATGAATTGGTTGATGTTGCAATTTTTTATGCCAGGAAAGCAGCAGGGTTTCAAATAGCACATTCTGTATGACGCTTCCCACTGTTCATCCTTCTTTAGTTGTTAGATATTTGCCTTTTAACCACTTGGTAACCACGCTATAGCTGAATGATGGCTACAGAGCAGTTACCCAGTTCTGGGAGGGCATCATATGATGTAGTCCCAGAACACGCCCTCCAGCGCACCCCCGAGGGCACGCACCCGGCGATCTCCATGATCTCTGTGTCCTATGAACACAGCTGATCACGTGATGCTGTAAAAGGCCAATCACAAGGGCCTTTTACCACCTGATCAGCTGTGTTCAATGACACAGCAGATCACCGGGTAAATACAGTTGCCGGTTATCAGCTGCACTTTCCTCACGCTGTCACATTGTGAGGAAAGTATTGCCAATAACCGGCAATTGTCAAAGAACGGATCGGCACTGGTCATCAGTGCCACCCACCTGTGCCCATCAGTGCCACCCACCTATGCCCATCAGTGCCAGCCACCTGTGCCATCCATCTGTGCCCAGCAGTGCCACCCATCTCTGCTCAGCACTGCCACCCACCAATGCCCAGCAGTATCACCCCATCAGTGCCACCCATCAGTGTTGCCCAGCAGTGCTGCCAGTCAGTGCCCAGCAGTGTCATCTGTCAGTGCTGCCCATCAGTGCCACATATCAGTGCAGCAGCATCAGTGCCGCCTATTAGTGCTGCCTATCAGTGCCCATCAGTGCTGCCTATCCATGCCACCTCATCAGTGCCCATCAGTGCTGCCTATCAGTGCTGCCTATCAGTGCCCATCAGTGCAGATTCATCAACACACATCAGCGAAAGAGAAAAATTACCTGTTTGCAAAACTTTATAATAGAAACAAAGAAAAACTTTTTTTTTAATTTTTTGCTCTTTTTTTGTTTATAGCGCAAAAAATAAAACACCCAGTGGTGATTAAATACCACCAAAAGAAAGCTCTATTTGTGTGAAAAAACTGATAAAAATGTCATATGGGTACAGTGTTGCATGACCGTGCAAAAGAAAGCTCTATTTGTGTGAAAAAAATTATAACAATTTCATATGGGTACAGTGTTGCATGACCGCACAATTGTCATTCATAGTGCAACAGCGCTGAAAGCTGAAAATTGGCCTGGGCAGGAAGGGGGTAATGGCCCCCTCATTGGTGGTTAGTGGTAGTAATAGTAACAGTATTTTCTGTTTTCTGATCACATGCTCCCATGCTGCTGCATCACTTCCCAATGACGCCAGGCCGGGACTATATTCGATCACAATACCTCACAGTATCTCCATTACTTCAGTGCCAGGTTCTGGAATACATAGGATCATTTGAGAGGGAACATCTATCCAGTGTGGGCAGAAATCAAAATCTCTCAAAGATTTTTAACCCTTCTCTACCGTAGCTCAAGGTAAAAAATTTGGGGCTTTGGACACCCTACCTCAAAAGGATTTACCCCCGTCCTGACGGGTAATTGTGTGTGATACGGTGCTGGGTTATTTTGACTGACAATTGCGCGGTCATGCAAATTTATGTCCTTTTTCCCACAAATGGAGCTTTCTTTCGGTGGTATTTGATCACTTAAACTTTTTTTATTTTGTGCGCTATATGGCGGTATATATATACTGGAATTTTTTTTATAATCAGCAACTTATAACGGGTCTGCAGTAGGCATTCTGACAATGGGGGGAACTGACTAACTGCCATTGACATCCCCAGTGACACTAATACAGTATTCGGTGCTAATAAAAAGCACTGACACTGTACTAATGACACTGGTCAAGAAGGGGTTAACATCTGGGGCGATCAAAGGGTTAAGTGTGTGTTAAGGAGTGCTTTAACTGTGTACTGTGTGTTGTTTTACTTCTGAGACATGCTGCCACAGTTTGGAGACCACTGGTCTAGGCCATTCGAGCAGAAGGGGGAACAGGTACCCGCTCCCCCCAAAAAATGTATTAAACAGTGATAAAGGAGGGGGAAGAGGTGGAAAAGTGGAACTTCCCCTTTTGGGTTCAGTTCTGCTTTAATGACGCTGCCAATGATCACCAATGTGGGGGTAATTCCTTGTACGCCAGCAGATTTGAAATGCTTTTTGTAATGGAGATCTTTAAAGCTGCTCATTTCTGCTCATTACATTTTGTTGCCACACCAGGGGCGGACTGACAACTCATGGGGCCCCCGGGCAATAGGGGATCATGGGGCCTCTGTGTCCTTGCCCAAACTCAAAAAAGCCTATGAAAAAGGTACCAGGAGCATCTCATGGGGCCCCCTACTGACCCCGGGCCCTCGGGCAATGCCCGAGTTGCCAAATGGTCAGTCCGCCCCTGGCCACAACCCTAACTAGAAAGGACAGGGACCCGATACTGCAGTATTACTCGTTTCCACTTCTCTTCCTTATCTCCACTCTATGACTGGATAACGAAAGGAAAAGCAACATACTGATGAGTACATCCCTCTGCCACTCTGCTCTCTTCTCCTATCAGCATGCTTCATGCTCCATACTGTATATATAAACTATATGAAGTTTTAATAAATACACAGTTGTATTCATTTGTGTTTTCTATATATGTCTGGAGATCAGCTTGAAGTAATTCTTTATACCTCTTCCATATCTTCTTTATTTTTGCATTTTTATATTCTTACTTTCCTGGACTCATTTCGGGGGGAAGTTTGGGCGCCTGTTGCTGGTTAGGAATCATTGGTTGTTCACCTGTAAAAGTTGCCAACTAGAGATGTGCATGACAGAAAAATTTGTTTTGTTTTGTTTAGGATTCGTTCATTAAGTTAATAATTTTATTTCATCATATTTGCAGATTTTAGAATGATTCATTTTCAGAATTTGTTTCATATTTTTTCATTCATTTTGTATATTCATTATTTTCAAATCAATAAAAAATTTAAAATTCAGATTCAGATTTCAAAATTTGACTTTCCAAATTTGAATTTCAGAAAACAGCTATATTCGTTCAATTCTATTCTATTCTATTTTTGTATTCTATTTTTTTTTCAATCCTATTCTACTCTATTGTATTCTTTTCTATCCTATTCTACTCTATTCTATCCTTTTATTTTCTATTCTAGTCTATTCTTTTCTATTCTGTTCTTTTCTATGCTATTCTACTCTAATCTGTTCTATTTTTTCAATCCTATTCTACTCCATTCTGTTCTTTTATTTTCTATTTTAGTCTATTCTTTTCTGTGCTATTCTATTTTAATCTATTCTATTCTGTTCTATTTTTTTCTATTCTATTTCTTTATTTTGTATTCTATTCGGTTTTATTTTATTCTATCATTTTATATTCTATTCTATAAAGCAGCTTAAGTAGCAATCATCAACTTTTTTCCACTTTTTTTTTACCTTAGGCTTGGTTCACACCTATGCCTTTTTTTATCCGTTTTTAATGCTTTTTGCATTGCGCTTTACCTTTTTACACATGTGTTTTTACTGCATTTTAACTGCATTTTGTGCTTTGTTAAAGTGTAAACTTTTTTGTTGCTGAGCAGAAAAAAAATGCAAAATGCAGTAAAAATGCAGCCATAAAGCAACTACATGCGTTTCAGCAGCTTGTCCGTTGAACTCTATTGTAACAAAAATGCTCCTTTTTGCTTTTAAAAAAAGTCCCTGACACTTTCCAAAAATACAGCAGTTCAAAATAGCATAGATGTGAATGTTTTCCATAGGAGACCATGTTAACCACTAGCCTACAGGGCACTTATACCCCCTTCCTGTCCAGGCCAATTTCCAGCTTTCAGCACTGTCACACTTTGAATGACTATTGCGCGGTCATGCAACACTGTACCCATATGAAATTTTTATAATTTTTTTGAGACAGATAGAGCTTTATATTGGTGGTATTTAATCACCTCTGGGATTTTTATTTTTTCTTAAACAAACCAAAAACCACTGAAAATTTTGAAAAAAAAAAAGTTTTTTTCTTAGTTTTTGTTATACAATTTTGTAAATAGTGATTTTTCTCCTTCACTGATGTGCGCTAATGAGGCTGCACTGATGGGTACTGATAGGCTGCACTGATGGACACTGATAGGTGGCACTGATGGGCACTGATGAGGAGGCACTGGTAGGTTGCACTGATGGGCACTGACAGGCATCACTGATGGGCACTGAAAGGCAGCACTGATACATGACACTGATATATGGCACTGATAGGCGGTACTGATAGGCAGCACTGACTGGCACTGATAGACAGCACTGACTGGCACTGTTAGGCGGCACTGACTGGCACTGATAGTCGGCACTGACTGGCACTGATAGGTGGCACTCACTGGCACTGATAGTTGGCACTGACTGGCACTGATAGGTGGCACTGACTGGCACTAATGCGCACTGATAGGTGACACTGACTGGCACTGATAGGTGGCACTGATTGGCAGGACTGATAGGTGGCACTGACTGGCACTGATGGGTGACATTGAAAGGCAGCTCAGATGGGCACTGATATGTGGCATTGATGTGCACTGGTATGCACTGATATGTGGCATTGATGTGGCACTGATGGGCACTGGCACGTGGCACTGATGGGCACTGGCACGTGGCACTGATGAGCACTGACAGGTGGCACTTCTGGGGCCACACTGATCATCAGGGCACACTGATCATCAGTGCCCTGATGATCAGTGTACATGTCCCCTCCGCGGAAAGCCGATAACGGGCTCTCCTCTACTCTCGAGCTGTAAGCGTGACAGCTCGAGAGGGAGAGAAATGCCGATAACCGACATTTCCGTGTTTACATGTGATCACCTGTCATTGGACACAGCTGATCACATGACCAAGCCGACATCTTCGGCTCTTTCCGTGATCCGCTGTGTCCAAGGGACACACCGCACCGGCGATTGCCGCGCTACGCGCTCCCTGAGCCGCGCATGCGCAGTGAGAATGGTAGGACGTCATATGACGTCCTATCAGAATGAGAGAACTGTACTATAGGGCGGGCGGAAGGTGGTTAAATAGACTGTAGTGTATTTCTGCAAAAAGCACTAAAAAGCGCATCGGTGTGAACCAAGGGTAACTGTATTTATTGCCATATTTTCCAATTCAAATATGAATTCCTTTTCAAATTCATTTTCAAATATGAATTCAAATTCATTTTTTAATTCAAATTCATTTTTTAATTCAAATTCATTTTAAAATTTCGGATAATTCATTTTATTATCATTTATTTTGGATTTGTTAATATTTGTTACTATTGTGTGTCATAAAATAGTGCGTGCATATTGGATATGTGGATATAAGCAATAAAGAGCACCTGTTTTGTGAACAAATTATAAACGTATGGATCAAGCACACATTATGGACTTTTAAGTTGTATTCAATGTATTCACCGATGTTGCATAAGCACATGGTTTGGATGTTTTAATTCATATATGAGGTTATAGAGATATATACGTGGCACTATTACATGACATATCTTTCGTGTGTGGAAATGCATGTAAGTGTCAGCAGCACTGATATACACAGGAATTTGAGGAGTTATTTGTTGCGCTGAAGTTTTATTTGTATACATTTTTTTTGTTACTATTGTGATTCGGAAATTTGGACACATCCAAATCTCTGAAGAACAAAAATGTCGTCCAAATTTTGATTCGTAATGAAACAAATCACATATGTCTATTGCCAACTCTCTGGGCTGTCAATGGTAGGAGCCACTCAATAAAAAATATTTAAAAGGCTCCAGATCATTTAAGAAAACTAAACTAGTTTAGTGGCGAAATGTATCAAAATAGTTATAGAAGTTGAATGTTCCTATGTGCTGTCAGCTTCCAGGGTGTATATTAAATTTAGATTGGGGCCTTTTCTATTCCAACACACCTCTGTTTGTTTAGAAAGCATTACAGCAATAAGACGTGTTGATTAACTTGCAGGATACAGTATGTCCTGCTCAACATGGTCACAAGTCACGTGTTTAAAGAGACCCTGTCACCAACTTAAAGAATGCAGGCAAACACATTAAACACTATTTAATTTCCTACTTTTTTTTTTGTAAATTTATTTTGTATTCCCTTGCATTGTGCATTTGAACTTGCTGGAAAAGCTGACCAGTCAATTCCCTATCAACCCCCTTCCCCCCACCCCTCCTTCCTTGCACATCATAGTCTTCTTCTGGGAGTGTCTAATTATTGTCTGTGCAGATTTCATTTTAGCAATTGCCAAAGGAAGTGCCACTGGGAATACTATAAAAACACACAGAGGATACAATTAAAAATAATAATTAGCATTTATTTATTTATATATTATTTACTCACTACTAAATCGCAACATTCAGCGCTGGGTACATGGGAGGGCTTAGCCTTTACACCAAATCCCTAAAACCATAAAATCTTATACTCCAACAAAGATCAAAGAAGAAAAATTGCCCTGAATGGACAGTGGCAGTGTCTCTTTAAAGTATATACTATACAACTATAGGCAAAACTTTTTTTTTTCATTTTGGATAGAGTAACGGAGGGTTATAACCCATCAGTTTTTTTTACCTTCATGTTTTACCTTCACTCCCTGTCCCATAGCCAAACAGAAAGTGAGAGGAAATCACTGCAAAGTAATGGAATCCCTTGGGGCCCCAGATCACAAGAACTAGTGTCCCTATTGGAAGATTTCCCCTCTATTACTTTTCAGGGAAAAACCTACGTACAGTTAATATTTTATATAAAAACATATATTTTAGTTTTACCATAAAGAGCAAGAAAAAGAAAGGACAGCATAAGAAAAAAAAAACCCTTGCCTCCCTGGGTAGAATTCTCCTTTTAGGTGGACTTTTGGACCAGAGGAAATTTTAAAGTTATGAAGGCTTCCTGCATTATACGAGGGGCGTTCATGTCGAACCAGGACTTTTGAGTTTGTATACACGTATCCCAGCGTTTAACTAATGCCTGGGAAGCTTCGGCATAGAAAGATTTGTAAATACGCCTGAACCACCCTAGGACAGCCGGCTTCACATTGTCATTATCGTGTTGACCGTTCCCACAGAACAATTTGTCTCTTGTGCAATTCCACAACAGGTTATGCATAGATTATCCAGCATCAGGTGTTCCATGCACTGAATGTTCAGAGGAATGACTGCTGTGGCCTGGGAACCACCATGGATGGGATTGTCACTGATGGATGTATGGCCAACTTTGAAACCTTTTCTACCATTCAAATGTCTTACTGCGGCTGATCATCTCAGCACTGTGCTGTACTCTAAGTCTTCTGTAGATATCTGTGGGTTTTTACGCCTTTGTTCACAAGAAATGTCATCACAACACGTTGTTCCATACACACACTAACACTGTTGTCTGCCATCTTGAATAACAGTCTCTAGACTGGCCCGCGGCATGTGTGCCGCCTTATCAGTAACCTACTTGCCACATACTACTATAGTACCACCACTCTAGCATTCCTTTTTATACCTGTAGAACGAAAAGTCCCAGTTTGTCTTGAACGCCTCTTGTATTCTACACCTCTACACACATGTTGTAACTACTGTACTGGCTCGTGCAAAATTTTCTACACTTTTCCTTACTGTCCTGTCTTTATTTTCCACTTTCATGAAAAAATATAATATTTAAACAAATAAATTGCAAACAGTTTAAAAATCTGTTGCTTTTGTCTAACAAGGTTAGCTGGCAGTCCTTGAACCCTTTCCAAAATCTGTATGTCCCTTTTGCAATGAGATGCCCAAAACTGAATCCAATATTCTATGTGTGATTTTTAATATATAAACACTGTGACTTGTTGGGCTTGCTTTACTAAATCTGATGTACTTAAAATTTGGTGCAGCTGTGCATGGTAGCCAATCAGCTTCTAACTTCAGCTTGTTCAATTAAACTTTGGCAATAAAACCTAGAAATAAAAAAGCAAAAGATTATCAGCTTAATACATGAACCACGGTCAAAAGAATATAAAAAGTTCTTATTGGTGGTGCTCCAGAGATGAAAATATAATGAAGTCCTGGCTCATGTTGGTGGGTAAAAGTGTTCAGCAGCCTTAATGATAGTTCTTGTGAAATGAAGACCAGGGATGAGTGGATGGATGGATGGATGGATGGAGAGTTCTAATGAAATTCCACAGCTTGGCACATCAGATCTGGGAGAAATCCTTAATGGCATATAAAAGACAACAAGGTAGCCAAGCACAGGAATGACTAAAAACAATGTGTCATTTATTAAACAAATATCCAAACTTGCATTCAAGTAAGAGAAGTTCTGCTTGGAAGTAGAAGGAAATGACAATATGTGCCTGAGAATGATGAGCTCAGTCTACAGACCGGCTACAGCTGTCATCAATAGGAAAATGGACCCACCTTGTAAGGATGGAAAGCAGCAGCATCAGTGGCCATCCTCAACGAACATGGCATCCACTGGGAAGAAGAGAAGGGGACAAGTACAACGTGTTTCAGAGGCCCTGGCTCCTTTGTCAAGTACTTGATAAAGGAGACAGGGCCTCTGAAACACGTTGTACATGCCCCCTTTGCTTCTTCCCAGTGGATGCCATTTTTGTTGAGGACAGCCAATGGCCTGGCTCATCATTCTCAGGCACATACCGTCATTTCCTTCTACGTCCAAGCAGCACTTCTCTTACTTGAATGTAAGTTTGGATATTTGTTTGTTTAATAAATTACATATTGTTTTTACTAATCCCTGTGCTTTGGCTACCTTGTTGTCCATTACAATAAACCCTGGAAGCTGATTGGTTTCTATGCAGAACTGCACCAGATTTAGCACTCTCCTGTTTTAGTAAATTACCCCCACTATCACAGAAGTCAGGAATGCATTATTACTTCTTCAGCATCATGTGAAGAGTGAGGTCAATAATATGACACAAATTATACAAATTGTGCTTTATTAGGTACACCTTGCTAGTACCGGGTTGGACCCCCTTTTGCATTCAGAACTGCCTTAATTCTTCGTGGCATAGATTCAGCAAGATGTAAGAAACATTCCCAGAGATTTTGGTCCGTATTGACATGATAGCATCACACAATTGCTGCATATTTGTCGGCTGCACATCCATGAACCGTTGATTTAGGGCAGGATAGATCCATGCATTCATGTTGTTTTTATGCCAAATTCTGACCCTACCATCTGAATGTCGCTGCTGAAACTAAGACTCCTCAGACCAGGCAACGTTTTTCCAATCTTCTATTGTCCAATTTTGATGAGCCTGTGCAAATTGTACCCTCCATTTCCTATTCTTAGCTGACAGGAGTGGCACCCGGTGTGGTTTTCTGCTTCAAGGTTCCACGTATTGTGCATTCAGAGATGTTATTCTGTATACCTTGTTTGTAACAAGTGGTTATTTGAGTTACTGTTGCCTTTCTATCATCTCAACCAGTCTGCCCATTCACTTCTGACCTCTGACATCAGCAAGGCATTTTTGTCCACACAACTGTGGCTCACTGGATATTTTCTCTATTTTGGGCCATTCTCTATAAACCCTAGAGATGGTTGTGCATGAAAATCCCAGTCAATCAGCAGTTTTTAAAAAATACTCAGACCAGCCCGTCTGGCACCAATAACCATGCCACGTTCAAGGTAACTTAAATCCCCTTTCTTCCCCATTCTGATGCTCGGTTTGAACTTCAGAAAGTCATCTTCACCATGTCTAGATGCCTAAATGCATTGAGTTGTTGCCATGTGATTGGCTGATTTGCAATTTGTGTTACCAAGCAATTGAACTGGTGTACCTAATAAAGTGGCTGGTAAGTGTTTAATGCCTGCAGTCAATAAATTAATTAAAACCTTTTGAGCCAAACATTTCACAAAGAAGGTATGGTGGTGAGATTGCAGTTGCTG